ATCACCAAAAAAAAAAAAAAACCCTCAAAAATAACTCCATTTCAATATACAGTATAATTTCTCACCCATCAGGTTGGCAAGAATGTAAAGCCTGATAAATCCAATACAGACAAGGAGGAGGATCTCCCCTTACATGCTGCTGCTGAGAATATAAATTAGTAAAGCCCTTTAGGAGGACAACTTAGCAATATCTATCAAAATCTTAAATGCACATGACTTTTGTCAAGCAATTCTAGGTATTTACTTCAGAGAACTAGTCACACACAGGTGCAAGGATGTTTAGTGGAGCACATTTTTAATAGTTTAATATAGCTACTAAGCATATTCTGTAGTACTGATACAAAGGCCATGTTAAGTGAAAAAATTCATGGTATGAACACATTTAGGTTGAAAAACATACCCTGCACACAGAATGATCTGGCAGGATACAAACTAAGCCTGCAAGTCAGGAGGAGGAACAGAAGGCACAGGGAAAAGTAAGTGGGAACTTTCACATTGTACTCCACATACTCAGGACTTGCTGCTTTAAGTATAATATATTCACTTTATTACCTATACGACTATCACATCTAATAAATATATTAAACACAATAACCAAGAGACCAGTCTTGCTGTTCCTTTAACTGTGAATAAACTAAGATTTCTTTGAGCACTATAACTTTTCTGTGAAATGACGAGTGCCCCCAATGGGCCCCACTCATTACTCATTAAATAAAATAAGCCCAGCAATAAAGCACTGGGATACAAAGAATTCAGAATCATCTACACCCAAGTGGCTATCTACTGGAGAAGTAGTATGTCAGTAACCACAGAGCAGGGCAGGTCAGCTAGCCCAGGACACAGACAGGAGGTCACATGAGCATTGAGGGAACTATATACAGTGTCCCGGGCCCAAGAAATATGACAGAGGAGCTAAGATTTGAACACATCAGCCATGCATGGTCTGATATATAGGAGGTGCTCAATATCTACTGAAAGAAAGGGAGGTTCAGAGCTAAGTCTAAAATAATAAAAAGTTTGGTATGGACAAATGAGTCACTAGTGAATTCAGTCACAAAAATGACTCTCAAAAAGGAACCAGATGGGAAGCAGGACTGGCAAGCAGCTTACATGTAATCAGTACCGTGTGCAGCACCCAGTCAGAAATGCCAAACTGAGCACACAGGAAAGTCTGGGTGACACGTGGACACATCAGCAGAGTGAGAAGTTCCAGGGTTCCCTAGGCTCTAACAGGTACCCGAGGTCATTTTAGAGGGCAGGAGGAGGCCAACATTGGAAAGGTCAAAAAGTAAACTACACAGTGAGAAAGTTCATCCTTTGGGGCCTGCTGATTATTTTCAAGAGGAAGGCTCGGCACACCTCTGTTTCCAAGAGAGGGAGCAGGATTCCAGCTCAGTCTCTGTACTAGCCGGCAGTTAACATTTTTCTTATTTGTACACATATGAGAATTTTTCTATTTTCTATTTTCATTTTTCTTATTTGCATACATATGAGAATTTTTTAAGAAAAAAGGATGTCGCTGGGCGCGGTGGCTCAAGCCTGTAATCCCAGCACTTTGGGAGGCTGAGGCGGGTGGATCACAAGGTCAAGAGATGGAGACCATCCTGGTCAACATGGTGAAACCCCGTCTCTACTAAAAATACAAAAAGTTAGCTGGGCATGGTGGTGCGTTCCTGTCATCCCAGCTACTCAGGAGGCTGAGACAGGACAATTGCCTGAACCCAGGAGGCGGAGGTTGCGGTGAGCCGAGATTGCGCCACTGCACTCCAGCCTGGGTAACAACAGCGAAACTCCGTCTCAAAAAAAAAAAAGAAAGAAAGAAAAAAGGATGTCAGTTCAACCAAAAATATTAAGTAATCAATTTTTTTATTTTTGTAAATTAATATCAAAAACAATAGTACTGTAATGTAAAGGCAAGGTTAAAAGTAATGAAGTTTGGGGAAAACTTCAAATAATAAAAAAGGAGAAAGAGGGTCCAATGAATTAGAAAGAGCTGAGTGAATCTGGATACTAACAGGTCACCATTTATCTTGGTAAAAGAAGTTTCAGGCCAGGAGCGGTGGCTCACACCTGTAATCTCAGCACTTTGGGAGGCTGAGGCAGGTGGATCACCTGAGGTCAGGAGTTTGTGACCAGCCTGACCCTGTCTCTACTAAAAATACAAAAATTAGCTGGGCGTAGTAGCACATGCCTGTAATCCCAGTTACTCGGGAGGCTGAGGCACAAGAATTGTTTGAACCCATGAGGCACAGGTTGCAGTGGACAACAAGAACAAACTCTGCCTCAAAAAAAAAAAAAAAGTTTCAGTGGAACAATGGGGCCAAAAATCATACTGTAGTAGTTGAAATGTAGTTGGTGTGAAATGAGTGGATGAGGAAATGGAAGCCACAGGGAGTGGCCTGTTCTTTAAGGAGCTTGCCTGTGACAGGGAGACAGCTAGAGTGATAAAAGTAATTATGGCACGGGGAGAGAACTAGGGGAAGAAAAACTAGAGCATATCATGGCTAGAGGGAGAGAGAAGATAACCCACACAGAAAGGCGCACCAGAAGAGACAGCAGAAGGGGAAGGTCCCGAACAGAAATGAACAGGAGGCACAACACATCTTTCTCAGACTCTGGCAGAAGGAGGACTCCTGATAGATCTAAATTTGTATGTGGAAAGGAGGGAAGCTGAAGTGGATCATAGACAAAATAGCCCACAAAGTAGCAAGTTGGGCAGTTCCTGAGTCAGGAGATAAAGGTGGGACAGGGCCTGGAGACTAACAGTCTAAAATAAATGTCCTGTACAAGAGAACAGGGAGTTGACAGAGAACAAACACTGAAGATCGCTGTGGAGGACCTACCTGAGGATCTCCCCGCCCCACAAAGCCATGGATTGCCAACAATCTCCAGGGCTGTACAATCTCCTCTTTCAGTAATTGGCAGTCCTGGGGTATATGGCACTATTGAGGGTTTTCAGAGCAGAAGTGATAGAGCACAAGTGTCATGGGGTTGAAGATGCTGAGAAGTGCAGCTGAAGTAACTGACTTCAGGGTCCAAACTGGGCAAGATTTAAAAAAAAAAAAAAAAAAAAAAAAAAAAAAAAACAGAAGGTGCCTGGAAATGAAAGAAAGGGGTTAGAAGCTACTTAGTGTCTGGCAATGGCCAAAAAACCAAGTCTTCTGGGAGTAGGAGTTGGAAATCAGAAGGCTCTTATCAGGTTAAAGCATATCAGAAGTCAAATAATCATACATCTAACAAATAGCTACTGAGAGAGTCAATTACACCAGGCAATGTACTAGGTTAACTAATTCCTGTCTCCATAGAGCTTACAGTCTCTTGGGAAAGACAGACATTTTAAAACTACGTGTGTGTGTGTGTGTGTGTGTGTGTGTGTGTATGTGTGTACATACAAATATAATTGTGGTGACTGCTGTTAAGAGGAAAGTACAAGACTTTCTGACAAAATAAGAAAAACCTAATTGAAATTGTGGAGGTAGGTGTAGGGTCAAGGAGATCTCTCCGATAAAGTGACATCTGAGTCAGGAGTCAATCAGGTCGAATGTAAAGCGAACGTCTTGTAAGGAAACAACATGTGTGATTTTCTTTTCTTTTTTTTGAGACAAGAGTTTCACTCCTGTCACCCAGGCTGGAGTGCAATGGCACAATCTCAGTTCACAGGAACCTCCACCTCCTGGGTTCAAGTGATTCTCCTGTCTCAGCCTCCCGAGTAGCTGGGATTACAGGCATGTGCCACCATGCCCGACTAATTTTTTGTATTTGGTAGAGACAGGGTTTTTCCATGTTGGTCAGGCTGGTCTCGAACTCCTGACCTCAGGTGATTCACCCACCTCAGCCTCTCAACAACTGGTGTGTAACTTCTTTTTTTTTTTTTTTTTTTTGAGACGGAATTTCGCTGTTGTTACCCAGGCTGGAGTGCAATGGCACGATCTCGGCTCACCGCAACCTCCACCTCCTGGGTTCAAGCAATTCTCCTGCCTCAGCCTCCTGAGTAGCTGGGATTACAGGCACGCGCCACCATGCCCAGCTAATTTTTGTATTTTTAGTAGAGACGGGGTTTCACCATGTTGACCAGGATGGTCTCGATCTCTCGACCTCGTGATCCACCCCCCTTGGACTCCCAAAGTGCTGAGATTATAGGTGTGAGCCACCACACCCGGCCTGGTGTGTAACTTTTAAGACTAGAAAGAGCTGGTGCATTTATGACAATGCAAGAAGCCTGGAACACAGACAGAATTTTTCACTTTGACAAAGAGAATTTACTTAACTTTTGAGTTAAGAAGAGCCAAGAAGAGCTCCGTTCCTAAGTCTTGCAGAGTATCTTCTAAGGTTTAATCATCTGGGACAATAGTACCCACCGTCCTCCCCCCAGCACTGGGGCTCCCACAGCCAGGGGCGAACTGGGTCTGGTTTGGGGAGCTGGTCGGACGCAGGCACAGCTAAGCTGAAAGGGGACAGGCAAGTGCCCGATCCCACGAGGCCTGGGAAAACACGAGCACGGATTCCACTCCCCATGCAATGGAATGACTCCGAAATTGCTAAGTAGGGTGATGATGGCATGACCTACTTTATGCCTGAGACCACTTGGACAACTGCGCAGATCATGGACCGGAGCAGGCGGAGCAGCAAGATGATGGGGACAGTTGAGGAGAAAAGCGAGGGCAGCCTGTCACAGGATGATAGCAGTGAAGACGCCGAGCCAAGTCCCGTAACAGCAGCTCTACAGGCGGCCTGCCTCATCCGCCCGAACTCTAACTTGACTCTATCTACGCCCAAAACGTCGGACGTACATCTAGCCCGACGCTCTTCACAACAACAGCTCCAGTATTTCAATCGAGATCAAACGGGACCCAACCGATCCTGCGCGCAGGGGTCTTATACAAAGCAGGAGTGGCTGCTGGATCACTGGCCGGCCAGGGACTCCGGCCTTCCCAGGTGAGCGCTCAGCGGCGCTACTTCCGGTCGCAGGTGAAGCGGCCGGAAGCGGAGCGCCTGGCTTTAAGACCCGCTACAGTCTGCCCTCGCGGACAGGCTCAGTCACCGCGGCGAGACCAAGCCATGGGGCCGCGGCCGCCCAAGGAGCCTGAGCCTGCCTCGACACCCCCCGCCCGAGGCCGGGCCGCCCGAACACTCACCTAGGGCCGCGCGGCCGCCCACACGGAAACGGAGACGCTGCCGCCACCAGCCGCCTAGGAACCCAGCTCGGCGGGCCGCAGCGCCTGCGCCCTCAGCCCGCCATAGACGCCGCCCCCAGTAGCGACTCAGACTCGGGCTTCCGCGGAAGGCCTGCGGCGCATGCGCTGGGCTCAGCGTTTGTTTTTATGCAAGAGCGAGACCACGTGGTTGGAGGGAAGGGCCTTTGTACCTGCCTGCCTGCAAACCTGGAAAGTTATCTCAGCCGCTGGCCCACTGGGCGCTTTGCGGAGGCCGCCTCACTCCCAGCGAAAATACCTCGCTAGTAAGACAGTTATGAAACTTAAGACATATTTCCAGGTGGGGGGGATGCGAGTGTGCCGTGCGGACGTAAATTCTCACAATTAACCTTGGACCCTCAAGAGAAAGTCAGCTTGAGCAGGGGAGTTAGCGGCACCTTTTGGTCGCCAGGCTGTGACCTCACCTGTCATCTGGCGCGACTGAACACGGTAAGAGAGAGTGAATGAATATGACCATATTCCTCATAAATGTGGAAAAACTCATGAAAAAAATTAGATGTATTGGAAGCACAATAAATATTTTCTAAAAATCATGTCAAAAAAGAGGTAAAAGCATACTCTTTAGAGTTACGTTGAAAACCACTAGAAAAACATATTAAATATATGTTGAATAAATAAACAAGCAGTCTTCAAAGCAATTAATGTATAAAAACCATCCATTGTGAACTGTTAACCGAAAGAGTTCCCGATCCAGACCCCAAGAGAGAGTTCTTGGACTTTGATCAAGAAAGAATTCAGGGCAAGTCCATAAAGTGAAAGCAAGTTTATTAGGAGAGTAAACGAATAAAGAATGGCTACTCCGTAGGTGGAACAGTAGCTTGGGCTGCTTGACTGAGAATACTTACAGTTATTTCTTGATTATATGCTAAACAAGGAATGGATTATTCATGAGTTTTCTAGGAAAGGGGTGGGTAATTCCCAGAACTGAGGGTCCTTCCCGCTTTTAAACCATATAGGGTAACTTCCTGACATTGCCATGGCATTTGTAAACTGTCATGGCACTGATAGGACTGTCTCTTAGGATGCTAATGCATTATAATTAGCATATAAGGAACAGTGAGGATGACCAGAGGTCGTTTTCATTGCCATCTTGGTTTTGGTGGGTTTTGGCCAGCTTTTTTACTGCAGCTTCTCTAATCAGCAAGGTCTTTGTGACCTGTATCTTGTGCCAACCTCCTATCTCATCCTGTGACTTAGAATGCCTGCCTTCTTGGGAATACAGCCCAGTAGGTCTCAGCCTTATTTTACCCAGCCCCAATTCAATATGGAGTCACTCTGGTTCAAATGTCTCTGACATAGTTGCCTCTTCCCTTCTACAAGGGAACCCCTAATCCAAAGGGTAGTAGAGGGAGGAAGATGCATCCTTCTGTAATTTCTTCAGGCCAAATAAGGGCTATGCTATTCCTGCCTAACTATTATGGTCTCTTGTATTCAGGATAGAGAGGATCTCAGTCAGAAGGCATCACTATGGTGTGGGCCATTTATAACTCCTGAAGGCAAAAGTGGTATCTGGAAGATTAGTAAGTATTCAATTTAAGAAAACATTGAGTAAACTTATTCTGTACTTCCACACAAAGAGTACAACAGCAGTATATTCCACAACAGTAAAGCAAGGTAAGTAAAATTATCCCGAGTAAACTAAATTAGAAGGCTTTCCATGAACTGGGCAGCTATTGGAACCAAGCTGATATGAAGTTGCTGTACATGCTGTATGTTCCATTATGTGCCCAGAATTAGAATATTGATCCAGATTTATACATTACCCATTTCTGTTATTTTTTTCTGAGCAGCAGCCAGAGATCACTGGTTAGTTGGCAGTAGTAAAAAGGGTGAGTCTAAATTGAAGGGGGAAAAAACCGCTTAAAAATAACTGATGAGACTGAATCTAATAACAGGTGTACCATAGTTAAAACACAATTTTTTCTCTCTTCAGGCTCCCATTTTTACTAAAGACAAATCATAGACTGATTTGCTTCTAAAATAATCTTTAGTTTTATAGTTGGCCTGATTATTTGTAAAAAGTGCAGCAAAAAATATTTTTCACATAGGTTTTTTGTTGTGGTTGTTGTTATTGTTGTTGTTTAATTGGCTTTTATGAATTTTGTTCTATAAGGACTTATAGATAAGACTTTTTTTAAAGCTGAGACCAGCCATAGGTTGGTGCCATCAAATACCTATAAGTTGGGTAAATTCCTCTCCTCCTTTGGTCTCAAGATATTGGGGCTCCTAGGCCTGCCAGAAAGTTGCATTCTTTACTTATCACACAATAGAGAACCCTGTACAGGGACTGTGTAAACAAGGTATGAGGCCAGTTTTCACAAGGGGCTTTTGTTTTCTCTGTAAGTCAGATTTGATTCCTTAAAGCAATTTGCTTCTATTTGAAAGCATGCCATTCCATTCAAAGCCTTGGTAAAATAACTGGTTCTTCCAACTGTGTCCAGTTGTAAAAGATAACAGATTTTTATTGCACTTAAGCAACTATGTTGCCTTACGAATGCTTACAAATAGTTCACAAATTCTGGAGAAAACAAGTTGAGAGAAATATGCTTCAAATTTCATTTACAAGCGTACACTTTACTCAATTGCTACAAGTTGTAAATAAAAGAAAAGTTGCCTTACAGGATGAAAATGAGTATTAAAAAAAAAGTTTTCTTGATTGTGAAAAACAAAACAAATAATCAGCGACATTTTAAGCAAAATGTCGAAAAGGTTACTTCAGACTTCTATTAGTTTACTCCATTCAGTTGACTCCTGTTCTGCTTGATAGTCATAAATATTTCAGTCTCACAAATCTTTTATAACCCTTTACAAATTTTTGTTAAAGAGTAGATCAGTGCTTTAAGAAAAGCCTGTTTTGTTTTTATTCCAATGTTCAATTTATGAAAAAAACTGAATAATACCTCTTTAACTTAGCCAATATGTTCACACAGAATTTCTTGTACAACAAGCATTTTTCACAAACCTTCCACAACTTGCTCAAACCTTTAGCTTTATCTTATCTAACTTAAAACAATCCTTTAACCCTCTAAACTAGGCCAAAAAAAAACCCCATATTCCCATGCATTCTCATAATATTTTACCAAAAATACATGTCACTTTGTTTGCATACCTTGCATGTAAAACTGTTTCCCTAGTAGTCCTTTTTCCTTTTTTTTTTTTTTTTTTTTTTTTTTTTTTTTTTTTTTTTTTTAAGGCAAGGTCTGGTTCTATTACCCAGACTGGAGTACAGTGGCACAATTTCGGCTCAATGCAACCTCCACTTCCTGGGCTCAAGCTATCCTCCCACCTCAGCTGCCCGAGTAGCTGGGGTTACAGACAAGCACCACCATACCTGGCTAATTTTTGTATTTTTTATAAAGACAGGGTTTAGCCATGTTGCCCAGGCTAGTCTCAAACTCATGAGCTCAAGGGATCTTTCCACCTCAGCTTCCCAAAGTGCTTGATATGAGCCACCATGCTTGGTATATCTCTAGTAATCTTAATTACATGTTACAATGTTAACTCTTAGCAACTTTTACTTTTGGCAAAAAACCTGTTAAGCAAATGATTCTAATTATGTACCAGCTGTGGAGCTTAAGACACCAGACAGAAGTAGTAGATAAGGTCTGACTCTTTATCGCATAGCCAGGAGGCATGGCTAACTAACTCCACATGTCCTCAGGCCTTACTTAGAATCTAATGGCTCCAAAGCAGGTACTAGAACAATTTTTAAAAGTCAAAGAAGCTTTTGACCTTAAAGCATGCAACAACCAACATAATTTAGACCAAATGTCTTTATTTTACCCATAATCTGTAAAACTATCTTTATTTCCCAAAGATTAAATCAAATAATCTTTGGGAAATAATATATACACATCACAGGTACAACACATTTAAATAAACTGCTCTTTCATATATACACATCACACATACAACACATTTAAATAAACAGACAAAAGATCCAGTAGTTGTAAGATTTTTCATTTGCCAGCTTTTAAGTTTCTTTTTAAAGTATGCAGCTTCCAGGGCCTCATAAGCAGTCACAGATGGAATGCAGAACAGATTCCCCAAAAATGAGGGTCCCATATTTATACCAGATCCTGGATCCCAAAAAGAGGGAATCAGCCCATTTCCCGTGGGAGTCTTATCTCTCAGTGGTGAGTGGGGATATTTCCATATCTTCCAGGGGGCCAAGAGCATGCCTTTCTGATCCAAACATGCAAAGAGTTGAGTATCCCTTTCTGCTAATATCTTCCTGGTGAACCACGAAGGGACTCAAGAGTGGCAAGAAGACAAAAATGGAAAAAAAACAGTTTATTCATCTGAGAAGAAAAAAAAAACTTTTTTCCAGAAAAAAAATGTTCCAAGAAGAGAAGAAATATAAAGGCCTTTTAAATAAATGTAGAGCTTGGCTACCCACTTTTTATTAAGCTGACTTTTAACCATGGCACTCTTTTGAAAAAGTCCTTTTAAATTTCTTATTACTGATCTCAGCCCAGCCAAATGGCCAATATTTCTGGCTTTTGAACTTTACCAACAATAACCTCACAGGCAAAACCAATAAGCCTATATTAAGGTTATTACTTAACCACAAGTTGACAAGGTTTTTTCAAAGAGATGGTTAGCAGTTTTTACAAAATCTAAAATTTCCAAAGGTAGCTCAGAGAAAGCAAAATTCAAGAAGGAAGTCAGAAGTTGTTCATGGAGGGGCAGAAAATCAACAAATGGCAAGGTTCACACATATATGAACCAAAAAGTACTCATTCCCTAGGCCAGGAATTGAACCCTAAACTTGGGCACCCATTGTGAAAAGACAAACCCTTAGCTACTAAGCTACAGCATTGGGCAGTTTCCACTACTCTTCCCAGAAGGAGCCTAGAAGCACCCAATTTTTAGCTTGCAAAAACTTTTAACTGCTCAAGACAATTTTTAGGACTATCATATGAACAAAATTCCTATTCTCTGGATGGTAGAAACCAAGAGAAACTAATGCCCCATGGTTACAAGATCAAGCTTGTAGAATACAGAACAAGATGAGAGGGAAACATCATTCAGTTTTTTTTTTTTGTTTCAGGGACCTGCAGCAAAGTTTGTTTCTGACCACTTTGCCGGAGTGTTTTAAACAGTGGTTTTATGGGATCCTAAGCACATGTTCTCCCCTGAGGTAGAATGATACAGAAAGACAAATTTATAGCACAAAGTATACCATATTCATTACAGCTTAAGACTAGTCTCAGAAATCCTTTTTCTCATTAATTAAAATTGCAAGAGATAATGCAAGAGATGGTGATTTTTACCATTCCTGCAACCAGTTTGTGCAAAGAGAGAGGGAAGGGAGAAAAGAATTGCCTGCAGCGGGGTAGGGAAAGCAAAGAGCTCATGGAGGCCAGAGAAAGACCCACCCATTCCAGTGACACTGAACCAGTTCAGGTGGCTGCTTGTCAGTCACAAAGGAGCCTTTTCCAGCACTCCTATCAGCTCTCAGTTGTCCCCCTTTGAGGAGAAAGAAGCTTTCCATGTCCCTGGTCCTGTACATGCTTAATTGTCTCATCCACAGCCATCACCAAAGAGTGCAACACAGATTAATCCAGAGAGAATAATAGTTAACATCCCATAGTGCCAAATCCATTTTTAACCAAGAAGAACTTTACTGAGAGGGGCCTCTAATCGCCTAAATCTTAGGAAGGACTCTAGCCTTCCTAAGTTGGGCCTTAAGTCCAAGTTCAGTCAGGCATCCTTGCCTTTTATTAAGAGGGGCCTTTAACACTCCCTGTGTTAGGAGAGACCTAACCCTCCTAAATTGGGCCTCTAACCCAATCTCATCCTTTACCTGAATAAAATGTGCCTCACCATGTACCCAAAGTTAGCCAATTGGTGCTGCAGTCTAGTTCCTTTGGGTCGGGGGTCTCCTCAGTATAGTCCCTTCATGGTTCATCAGGAAGATGTTACCAGAAAGGAAGGTCAGTCCAGACCCCAAGGGCGAGTTCCTGGATCTTGTTCAAGAAAGAATTTAAATCAAATCTATAGAGTAAAATAAAAGCAAGTTTATTAAGAAAGTAAAGGAATAGACCAGGCATGGTGGCTCATGCCTGTAATCCAGGCACTTTGGAGCCCAAGGCGGGTGGATCACCTGAGGTTGGGAGTTCAAGACCAGCCTGACCAACATGGTGAAACCTTGTCTTTAAAAAAAGAATAAGAAAAGAAAGTAAAGGAATAAAGAATAGCTACTCCATAGGCAGTGCAGCTCCGGGGGTTGTTGGCTGCCCATTTTTTTTTTTGTTGTTGTTATTTATTGATTATATGCTAAACAAGGAGATTATTCATAAGTTTTCTGGGAAAGGGGTGGCAGTTCCCAGAACTGAGGGTTCCTCCCCTATTTAGACCATATAGGGTAACTTCCTGACATTGCCATGGTATTTTTAAATGGTCATGGTGCTTGTGGGAGTGTCTCTTAGCATGCTAATACATTATAATTACTATATAATAAGCAATAAGGTTGACCGGAGGTCACTTCACCACCATCTTGATTTTGGTGGATTTTTGGCTGGCTTTTTCACTGCATCCTTTTATCTTTGTGACCTGTATCTTGTGCCAGCCTCCTATCTCATCCTGTAATTACAAATACCTAACCTCCTAGGAATGCAGCCCAGTAGGTCTCAGCCTTATTTTACCCAGACCCTATACAAGATGGAGTCGCTCTGGTTTAAACACCTCTGACATAACCCCCCAGTGGATTCATCTTGCCTGCTGCCTAGACAGAGCCAACTTACAGGACAGAGGAACTGCAATAGAGAAAGAGTAATTCATGCAGAGCTGGCTGTGCAGGGGACTGAGTTTTATTATTACTCAAATCAGTCTCCCTAAGAATTCAGGGATTGGAGTTTTGTTTTGTTTTGTTTTTGAGCCACAGTCTGTCTCTCTTGCCCAGGCTGGAGTGTAATTTCAGCTCACTATAACCTCCATCTCCCAGGTTCAAGCAATTCTTATGCCTCAGCCTCCTGAGTAGCTGGGGTTACAGGCAAGCACCACTATGCCCAGCTAATTTTTGTATCTTCAGTAGATAAAAGGTTTCACCATGTTGGCCAGGCTGGTCTTGAACTCCTAGCTTCCAGTAATCTGCCCGCCTGGGCCTCCCAAAGTGTTGGGATTACAGGTGTAAGCCATTGTGCCTGGGAATTTTTAAAGATAATTTGGTGGGTAGGGGCTAGTGAGTCATGAATTCTGACTGATTGAGTCAGAGAGTCAATCACAGCAAGTAGAAGCTGTCCTCTTGTGCTGAGTCTATTTCCTGAGTGGGGGCCACAAGACCAGATGAGCCAGTTTTATCATTCTGGGTGGTGTGAGCTGATTCATTGAATGCAGGGTCTGCAAAATACCTCAAAAACTGAACCATTTCTAACCTTGCAGCTAATTTGTTAATCCTGCAAAGGCAGTCTAGTCCCCAGGCAGGAAAGTGGTTTGTTTTGGTAAAGGGCTGTTACCTTTGTTTCAAAACTACACCATAAACTAAGTTCCTCCCAAAGTTAGTCAGGCCTATACTCAGGAATGAACAAGGACTGCTTGGAGGTTAGAAGCAAGGTGGAATCAGGTCAGCTGTCTTTCCTGTAATAAGTGTCTCAGTTACAATTTTTGCAAAGGCAGTTTCAATTGCAGAACATGGAGCTCCATAGAGTAAGCCAGGGCAAGTGAGAGCCAAATGGACACTGGGAGAAATAACTAAACATAGGCAAAGAAGACCCTAAGATGATGAGAGGTGAAATGTCATCATATGCATTCTTTGTGCAAACTTGCCTGGAGGAGCAGAAGAAGCACCCAGACACTTCAGTCAGATTCTCACAGTTTATTGAGAAGTGGTCAGAGATGTGGCAGTCCCTATCTGCTAAAGGGAAAGGAAAAACCTGAAGACATACCAAAGGCAGACAAAGCCTGATATAAAAGAGAAATGAAAACCTGTCTTGCTCCTAAGGGAGAAACAAATAACAACTTCAGGAATTTCAGTGTGCACAAGAGGACTCCTCAGGCATTTTTCTTATTCTATTCTATTGCTCCAGAGTCAAAGGAAACCATCTGGACTATCCTTTGGGGATGTTGCAGAGAAGCTGGGAGAGAAGTGGAGTTGGTGTGAAAGGAAGAAGCTGAGGCACAATTAATACAAGTAGAGAGTTTATTTGGGCCAAGCTTGAGGACTGCAACCTGGGAGCACAGATTCAAGTTGCCGTGGATATACACTCTGTTACAAGTAGGTTTTTAAAGGAAAAGGAGGAAGTTTTTAAGTTGTTTGCCAATAATTTACATTAAAGTAACATAAGCTATTGATTGTCTATACATTGTTCTGTGCCTAGGAACATGAAGATAATTCAAATTCCAGGAACTTGAAGATAATGGGTGAGGTAGATAGGAACAAGGTGTCTTTAAACAATTGCCCCCGGGCATGGGTGTACAGGGCGTGACTGAAGTCCCATACTTATGTCTCTGTGGACTGGATGGATTTTGCATACTTCACATAACTCAGAATGCTCTAAGCTGTTTTTCTTTTCTCAGGAATAATGATACTGCTGCAGATGACAAGCAACCTTAGGAAAAGAAAGCTGAGAAGCTGAAGGAAAAATACAAAAAGGAAATGACTGCATACCAAGCTAAAGGAAAGCCTCCCATAAAGGGAGTCATCAAGGCTGAAGAAAGCAAAGAAAAAAAGAAAGAAGATGAAGAGGAGGAGGAGAAATATAGAAAATGAAGATGATGATGATGAATAAATTGGTTCTAGCCCAGTTTTTTTTTCTTGTCTATAAAGCATTTAACCCCTCTGTATACAGCTCACTCATTTTAAAAACAATTGAAATACGTAAAATTTGTTTTTAAACTGTACAGTGTCTTTGTTTTATAGCCAACACACTACCTAATTTGTCTTTAGATAGCCCTGATGATATTTTCAATAGACTCTAACCTTGCCTGGTACAGTATGTAGGTTTTAAATCGGCATGGAAATTTAAAGCAGGTTCTTGTTGGTGCACAGTACAAATCAGTTACATATAGGGATGATGGTTTCTTCATCTTCGGTTTGCTTGGATGTGGCTTGTATAAAATAATTGTTTGTTAACTGAATAACACTCTCATTGAAAAAAAAATGAAAAAGTTGCTGCATTGCTGCTAATTTGTAACTGCCCAATGGGTTTTTCTTGCCTACTATCCAGATGAAGCCAGTTTATCAAGACAGGAGAATTGCAATAGAGAAAGAGTTTAATACATGTAGACTCAGGTAAATGGGAGACCAGTTTTTTTATTGCTCAAATCAGCCTCCCCACAATTTTGAGGCTAGAGTTTTTAAAGATAGTTTGGCAGGTGGGAGACTAGAGACTGGGTCCTGCTGATTGGTTGGGAATGTAATCATACAGGTATGGGAAAATGGTCCTCATGTGCTGAGTCTGCTTCTGGTGGTGGCCACAGGACTGCCTGAGTCTTGACTGACAGATCTGAATGGAGCCTTCTGGTCATGAGAAATGCAAAAGTCTGAAACAGCATCTCAAAAGGCCAATCTTAGGTTCTACAAAAGTGATATAATTTGCAGGAATAATTGGGGAAGTTACAAATCTTGTAACCTCCAGAACACTAATTGGTGCTTGTTTAACTATATCTACATTTTAGCAAGATTCAGGCCACTCTCACAGTCCTAATTGTCAGGCCTCCATGCCTGGACCCAGAAAGTCTGAAGTCCTGCCTTCCTAGGCTGATCACCTTCCATCCCCTGCCTGCATTCGCCATTATCCCTGCCACCGGAGCTTACCCTGGACATTGAGCTTCTCTCCCTGCCCTGCCATCTTAACTGTCATTATGATAATGTGAGTACTCCTCACCCCACCCTGCCATCTTAACTGCTCTCACACCTTACCCCATCCACCATTGTAACTGAACTTATGGTAATATATGCTACTTGCCCCCACCCCCACCACCATAACTAATCTTACTCTGTAACAGCCCTACCCCCTAAAATATTGCCTCAACCAATAAAACCAATTCCCACCCCTACTCCCTTCGCCTGTCCTTTCTCAGATTCAGCCGGCTTGCACCCAAGCATGAAATAAAATGGCCTTGTTGCCCACACAAAGCCTGTTTGGAAGATCTCTTTATTAAATGTGTTTAGTATTCGATACTATTGGATGCAAATAACACTAATCTTATGGACTTTTATTAGTTTTACAAAGGCAGTTTAGTTTTGGGAAGGGCTCTTACCAGTTAAACCATAAACTAAATTCCTCCCAAAGTTGGCTTGGCCTACACCTAGGAATGAACAAGGCTAGCTTGAAAGCAAGATGGAGTCAGCTTTGTCAGATTTCTCTTGCTGTCATGATTTTACAAAGGTGGTTTCAGTTTTGTTGACATTCTGAATGCTTCTAAGTAAATACAGTTTTTCATTAGTTAAAAAAAAAATTTCATTGAATCGTGTGTGTGTCTGTGTGTGTGTGTGCACCTGTGCTCATGTCTATAGTGGGAGGGTGAAAGGTAGGAGTGAGGAACAGTCTCCTAACTTTTTAGTCCCACCTCTACCATGGTGTTCTGTGCCTTTTTTACACTTTTTCTCATTGTTTCCTGTGTTCTGTCCAACTTTGTCTCTGTCCTGACTTTTTGTCAAGATCCTCCCTGATTTATTTAGGGCATTGCATTTTTGGTAATCTTTTAGGGTCATTTTGATAATCTCCAAGAATCATCTTACTCTTCAAAGCTGATCTAAAAGATGGGTGAGCAAAGTTCTGCTCAAACTTTAGAAGAAGATATGAGCTGTTCTCAGAATGCCTTAATTTCAACAGCTCCATTGTTTCAATCTGTTTTGTCATTAATAACCAGCGTTGTGATTAATATATGCAGTTATACATAAAAGAGGTTTTGAAGATACATGAAGAGATTTTGAAATTGTAATGATTCTGAATACAAGAGGAAAAGTTATTGCTGATCTGTTATTCATATAAGAGGAATACGATTGCAAATGTGAACATAAATAAGAATGCAGCAATAGTAAAGAATAACTTGAGGGCATGGACATGTTTTCAGAATATCTATTTCCAGACAAAAGCCGTAGAAATAAAAGAGAATCATATCTATCTGTATTAGGGTTCTATAGAGAGATAGAACCAATAGGATAGAGATAGAGAGATGGAGATGGAGATAGAGATAGGTAGAGATAGAGATAGGGGCAGGGGTAGGGGTATGGGTAGGGATAGAGATAGAGCTAACTGAGATAGTGATAGAGCTAGAGAGAGACATAGAGTTAGAGATGATAGAGTTAGAGTAGGGATAGAAATAGAGGTGTATGAGAAGGGATTGACTAGGGAAATGGATTCATGTGACTATGGAGGCTAAGAAGTTATGCAACAGAACATCTGCAAGATGAAGACCCTGGGATGTCAGTCTAAATCCTAAAACCTCAGAACCTGGAAGCCAATGATTAATTTGCAGTCTGAGGCCAAAGGCCTGAAAACCCAGGGGGGCCACTGTTGTAAGTCCTGGAGTCCAAAGACTGGAGTTCTGATGTCCAAGTGCAAGAGTGTCCCAGCTCCGAGAGAGAGAGAGAAAAAAAAAATTCCCCTTTCTTCTACCTCTATCCAGGTCCTTAGCTGATTGAATGGGGCCCACCCACAGTGAAGGGGGGATCTTTCCCATTCAGTCCACTAAGTCACAGCCAATCTCCTCTGAAAACACCCTCATATTCACACCCAAAAATGATGCTTTACCAGTTATCTAGATATTTCTTAATCCAGTCAAATTGACCTAAAATCAACTATCACATGATCTTAATATGCTTTACACCATGGAGCAATTGTACTTGTTTGTTCTTTGTCAGTGTGACTCCCTTTAAAATTAGCCTGCTCTCAGGGATTGCTATTCAGCAAATGGCCGTGAGAGAGACCAGAACACCACCTAAGAAATGTGGGCATTTTCCATTTCAACAGATTCATTTTATTGAGTGGCTACTTGGAGCTAGGTACTCTGTTGGTTGTGGGAAACATGAGCTGAACAAGGCAGACAAGGTCCATACTGTCATGGTATTTGCATTCTAGCAGAGGAAGAAAATTAAAAATGCAATAAAATCAAATATATAAAGTAATAAATGCTATTGAGGAATGTAAAACAGGTTAACAGAGAGCAAGTGGGCTGCCTTTTTGGTGGGTATGAAGTGGTATCTTAACAGGAGACATTTCAACTCCGGTCTGAATAACAGGAGGAATATAGCTGTAGGAGGATCAGGCAGAAGAAGATTCTGACAGGAAGCAGTAGTGTAAAGAGGGTAAGGCACAAAGTTGGCAAATTTTCAGACTAGAAACTGGGACTCTGGCTGAAGCCAAGATAGAAAGGGGCCAAATATCTAGAGCTCTGTAACCGAGGCATGAAATTTTATTCTAATTGTAAATCAAATCTGCTTGAGGGTTTTAAGTAAGGAAGTGACATGATTGCATTTACATTTAAAAAGTATTGTTGCGTAAGGGTAGTCATGTAGATCAATGGGATAGAATTAAGAGTTGAGAAATAAACTCATCTGTCTATGCTCAGTTCATTTTCAACAAGGGTGCCAGGGCCATTCAATGGGAAAATAATTGTCTTTTCAACAAATGATCCGGGAGCAAGTAGATGTCTACATGCAAAATAATTAACCCTACCTCACACCATATTCAAAAATTAATTCAATATGGATCAAACTCCTAACTGTAAGTGCTCAAACTCTTAGAAGAAAATCTAGGGGTGAGTCCTTATAACATGGGGTTTGGCAATGGATACATTTCTTTTTATTTTTGTCTCAAACAACCTATATTTATTATCTGACAGTTCTGTAAGGCAAAGTCCAGCACTGGTCTCATGGATATCAGGTCAACTCAGGGTATGTGACTGATTAAGAAATACCACAGAACTTTCTTACTTTCTCCCCTGACTCATGCAAAAAGAAGAGTTCATGTGAACACATAGTGAGAGGTGGCAGCCTGCAAGTCAAGAGAAGAGACCTCAGAATAAAATCCACCTTTCTGGCACCATGATCTTGGACTTCCCAGCCTCCAGAACTGTGAGAAATAAATTCCTGTTGTTTAATCTGCCTGGTTTATAGTATTCTGTCATGGCAGACCATGCTAAGACAAATTTTGACTTTTTATTGAAGTGGCTGTCCTCAGCCTTCTGCCCATCATCCCAGCTTTCTTTTGATTGTATAGATTGAGCAATGCCTTCACTGACTGCCCTCCTGTCTTGTTCTTAGGAATTCCATAAATACCACCTCATGTCCATATCTCTCTGCAAGTCAGGCCACCTGTCCACACTATCAGCTTCTGTTGGTATATGGTGGCTAGCTCTTAAGGGCACTAATCCTATCATGATAGCCCCACCCTCATGACCCCATCTAATGCTAACTACTTCCCAAAGGCCCCATCTCCAAATACCATCACATTTGGGTTAGGGCTTCAACATACGACTTTGGGGGTAGAAGACACTAATGTTCAGCTCTAACATAAATTTTTGCCCAGTTTCTGGGCCTGAGACACTTTTGGGACCTGAAATCCCTTGACTGAAAAAGAGGCCAGGTCCTCAGAAAGAAGGACCCCTGCAATCACACGTGATCTCCCAAATGTAACGGACTATTATCTCGAGTGTTCTATATCAGCCCCAGAAGTAGAGGCCGTTCCTTATGTCTGCCAACCCTGTGCTCTTTAGCATTCTCTTTATTTTTTGCTACCCAATCT